TGCTGTGGAACTCTGCAGCTCCTCCAAGGTTACTGTACCTTAGGTCTCTGTGCTGCCTCTCTGCCACGGCGCCGTAGAGATGGCGCCGTGGCAAGAGCTCTGGTGTGTGTCGTCTGGTGCACACTGGGGTAGTCTGTGGTTTTACTGCAAATGGCAAATAAATAAATCTGAATCTGAATCTGAAAAGCCAAGGGGGTGAATACTTTTGCAAGGTACTGTATATGGCAACAAGATGGATGATCTGCTGCAGGTTTAAATTCCAACCCAAGCAGAAGCACACCAGCCTCCACCCATTTCTGCAGGTGAGTCCAGTTTTAACCTGCAGATTTGAGGGAATGAGTGGAGTCTGGTGAGCTGCTGCTTGGGTTGGAAGTAAAACCTGCAGCCACACCAGACCTTTGTGGGACCGGTTTGACCCCCCTGCTCTAGTCCCTTATAAAGACATAACCTGAGAGCACTGGGCCCTGTGACTTTAGAATACTGATATTGTCTGAAGTTTTGACCCCTTTATTTCATATTGTAGTCTTCTCTGTGGTGAAAACATGCTTTTGATTCGCACTTTTTGAGCCTAAATGTGATTAAGCAGTCTCTACATTTGACACAACAGGGACCACACTGTAGCTCAGTCTGTTTGTGCTTATGAACAAATAAAAGTTCTACAGGCTTTTTCATGCTATTAGTAGAATCATATGGTCATATCTTCTCTATGGCTTTAGGGGGTAGGGCATTGTGCTTTGGGCTTTCAACAGCTATGCTATAAATATGAGTGTGTGTATGCAAAAAAGATGAGGTCGACCACATGCATTCTTTCAGCTTTGTTCCAAAATGGCTTTTGCTCAAGTGTGCGATGCAGAGTAGAGCAGTGTTTTTCAACCACTGTGCCGCGGCACACTAGTGTGCCGTATGATATTGTCTGGTGTGCCGTGAGAAATTCGTCTACTTTGTCTAAAAATAGCTGCATTCGCTGTTGACGAGCGGTGACTTGTTTTGAACTGTGAGTAACCATGTAATACTTTTTCAAATCAGTAGATGGCAGCAGATAGCTAAGTACTTTGAAACTGAAAAATTGGATGCGACCACTGGCTACAGGTCAGCATTGTGGCGAGAAAGGTAAAATTGGATGCGACCAACAAATGTGTGAGGGAGCGAGACAAAAGCTTTGTGGCGAGTGAGAAGTGAAAGTGATAGAGACGTTTTTGAAAATGAATTATGCCGTTTCTGAACAGGATTAACATCCTCCGCTCTGCCCCGGGGTAGCTGTGGCCGCGTTGTAGTGGTTTAACTATGAAATGTACGATTTTTGTACAACAGCTCTCGCGAACGCACTTCTGAACTGGGTACCGAGCGCAGACCGTAGTCGAGTGGACAGAACCACAGACATGCGGACCGGACAGAACCATGGACTTGCGTTCAGGACCTCCCGTGTCCCTCATCCAAAACTCCTGAATTTAAAGCTCGGATACCAAAATGTTACCCATGCACTAACAATGCATGTTCTTTGTGTGAGTTATTATTTGACTATTTGGGCAGAGAGTGGATTTTCTTAGTTTTTTTCCACACAGTTAGTGCCACTTTATTCCCAAACTCTTGTTAATTGTATCGAGAAATATTAAATAAAGCTTAATTTCAAGGCCTGGACTTAAGCATTTTGATGAGAATAACTGTATATTGTGAATATAGGCTACAGAGTATACTGTATACGTTATAAGATAAGATATACTTTATATATCACACAGAGTATGTACAGTATATATTTTTTTACATTAGTACTGTATACATTTTTACATTTTCTCCTGGAGGTGTGCCGCAAGATTTTTTCAGTGAAAAAAGTGTGCCTTGGCTCAAAAAAGGTTGAAAAACACTGGAGTAGAGCATATGGGCAAGTCCTGTTATCGTTGACACTAATGGCCATAAAGTGAACCACATATGTTTTGTTCAGGCTTTTATTACAGTTTATATGTTGAAGCTAACAAGAATAGTTTTTTGTACATCATATTAAATACGTATACATAGTTCCTACATGACGTCACTACATACGGGGATTTGCCGACCCGGCGCCATTTGTGTTGGCATTCTGTGGGCAAAACAATAGAAAAAGAAGCTGAAACGTGTTAATGTCGTGATAAAGTTGAAAATGGTCATCTCCTGCTGGGTCAATGGATGTTCAAATCGTGCCGGAGGTTCCGTTAAACTTGGATTTTACAGTATACCCATCATTAGACTTCATGAATGTGAGAAGACTAAGCTTTTGTCAGAACAACCACGGAGGTTATGGCTTGCGAAGATAAACAGGCAAGAAACTCCCTCAAAACACGCAAGAATATGCTCGGAGCACTTTGTGTCAGGTGCGTATCGTATCTTATAATGTGTTGACAGACGTAATTTACTCAGTACTAACTTGTGTATGCTGATATCTGGTAACTTGAGAGTTTCATTATTTAGATTACTTTATTATGAGGAGGATCGGTGTCGCGTCCGAGGCTCTCGAGGGCAACGTAAATGTATTAAATAGATAATAATAGTTCTATGGTGGGCTAAAACAATGTTCACAAACAGCATTGCTTCTGTAAAAAGATCTGTGTCATAAAATAAACTGCTCTTTACGCCTGGAAAAATTAGTTGCCCACCATTCACCAAAACATACGGTCAAAAACGCGGAAATAAACAATAACAGCAATCCAGAGTGTCCGTGTGGCATTAGCATTAATTAAATTAATTGTTAATATAATTAAAATAATTAAATGGAGCTCCAACTGGTATTAAATCTAAAGTTTTTGAGAAATGTTTGCATTGCTTGTTAATTTTTGCTGCATAATTTGATCAAATCTGTAAAACATGTCCGTAGCACGTTAAACTGTGGTGCCATTGTATTAATATACAATTATTTGCTCAAAAGTTGCCCTTTTTTTTCAATTTGCGTTTGAATATCTACATTTATTCTCATTCTTCTGTTTAATGGAATGCACAAACACAGCAGCGTGCCATCAAAGATGGCGTCTACGAGGAGGTCATGTGACATTCATTGGTCTGTGGGAACTATGTATACTCTATACTAATGTCAGAAATTATTTAACCTCTTTACACCAACCGGCGCGCCGGCGGCCGTTTTTATGTTTTTAAATGTTCTGCTGGCAAAAGCAGATGTATTTTGAACACCAAACCCCAAAAACTGTATATCATTTTAAAGCTTATTTTCTTATCTACATTTATATACAAGTGTAAACTACATCAGACTTTGCATTCAAAAGATATAACACATAATGTGGGCACAAAATAAATCAATTCCGAAATAGTTTTTTACCTTTGGGCTTGTGCTGTACAAATAAATCAGCTCTCCTCCCAGCTTGCAATACATCATTCTCTCTGGAACAGTCCAAAGGAAAGTAATATCCACTTGTATTTCCCAAAGTAAAATCCATTCTGCAGAAATAATCCAAAAATGTGCATTTATCTTTAGCAAAAAAAACGAAAAAAAAGAGCACAGATGTTACTCTTTCACTTTTAACGGACTTTTAGCTTTGTTTTTCACCCAAACATCTGGTATCCACGTGTTTCTTAGCTCCTTATCTTTCAAATGAGACTACTCCCGAAAAGCTAGACCAATTATTGGGTCTGCAAGAGGTCCCGTAAGTACAGCTTGCGCTGCTGTTTGCGCACGGATCACTGATCTTTTGTGGGGTCCCAACTTGTTTGCTTTTACTTCCGGGATTTACGATTGACATGTCCTTGTAGCCAATGAGGAACGCTTTCGAACAAGGGGTGGGACAATGGTGTCCTGTCTTATGTTGGGCCTGGACAATTGTGCGTAATGGCAGCCAAAAGACGCTCTCGAAGCTGCAATGAATTTACACCAAGCCCCGGCGATTCAAGATGGCGCCCTATTCAAATGAATGGTTGTGCTCAGTGGCGCTTTGTGACGGCATGGGGGCTGAAAAGATTAGCGGAAGTTGCCTGAAACTCGCAAAGATCTATGGGAAACTCGCCTGTATTTGGGCATCGTCTGGTCCTCCCGGTTCTGTGCAGTGGATGATCTCCCATAATGCGTTGCGCCAAACACGCGTGTGTGGGTCTCACACCGGGTCTCACGCACGTGCACAGAGGGGCTCGGCTCTGACCAATCAGAGCAGTTCATCAGAGCGGGAGTTAGAGCGAGAGCCAGACGAGCAGAGTTTGTGGCACTAAAGTGTGGATTTAAACAAAACCGAAGGATTTAAGAAGAAAAAAAGTTCAGGATGACAAGGGACACTAAAATCCCCACAAAATCCTATCATTATGAAAGCTGTAGGTTCTCTGTCAGCCGAGGTCGAGCTGTTTTAATATGCATTGAGTCCTATGGGGAAAATTTCTGGGTAGCCCACGTGAATTTAGTCTGGTTCTGCAGTACCGCGAGAATCCCCTGAGCACGTGAGTTATTCAGCTACAAGCTAGTAATACCCTATCCAGTTAATATAATACATCCATGGTTTACACTCATAAAAAAATAACTTTGACATTTAAAAAAGAAAAACACACATAGATTAGTAACTACCAATAATAAAAAATATCGTTTTTATGATGATTAAATGTAAGTAAAGATATTTGGCACAATTTGGCACACTTGTGCCAAATTGTGCCAAATGTGCACTACTTGATGAAAAGGAGAAACTGCATAAAAACTATAAAACTTAGAAGTCTGAAACTTTAGACAGTTGTTGTCAACAACACAATGAACAGAGGGTTTGAATATTGTGAACTTACAATGAAGTATGCCTTTTTTAGGGCCTTTAGAAATTGAAAATGTTAGGCGAGGCTAAAAAAATTGGGTTTTTTTCCCTAACTTCAAAGGATGCAGAGGAAAATAGGAATGACAAACATTATTTTAGTGTTTTTTTACATAAACTAGAAGGCTCTAGCTTTAAAATGATGCATCACACAAGCATGCAGGTGTGGGGGGGTAGGGATGAGGGGGGGGTGGGGGGGGGGGGGGGGTGGGGGGGGGGGGGGGGTGGGGGGGGGGGGGGATGGGGGGGGGGGGGGGGGGGGGGGGTGGGGGGGGGCGGGGGGGGGGAGGTGGGGGGGAGGGGGGGGGGGGGGGGGGGGGGGGTAAGGGGGGGGGGGGGGGGGGGGGGGGGGGAGGGAGGGGGGGGTGGGGGGGGGGGGGGGGGGGGGGGGGAGTGGGGGGGGTATGGAGGGGGGGGGGCCTGGGGGGGGGGGGGGGTGGGTGGGGGGGCATGTACGGGGGGGGGGTAGGGTGGGGAGGGGTGGGGGGGGGGGTGGGGGGGTGGGGGGGGGGGGTGGGGGGGGGGTGGGGGGGGGGGGGGGGGGGGGGGGGGGGTGTAAATGGGGGGAGGCATCAACGTGGGGGAGGGAGGGGGGGGGGGGGGGGGGGGGGGGGGGGGGGCGGGGGGGGGGGAGGGGGGGGGGGGAGGGGGCGGGGGGGGGGGGGGGGGGGGGGGGGGGGTGGGGGGAGGGGTGGGGGTGGGGGGGGGGGGGGGGGGGGGGGGGGGGGGGGGGGGAGGGGGGGTGGGGGGGGGGGGGGGGGGGGGGGCGTGTGGGGGGGGGTGGGGGGGGTGGGGGGGGGGGGGGGGGGGGGGGGGGGGTGGGGGGGGGGGGGGGTAAGGGTTGATTAGATCCGTTTTGGTAAGTGGTATGGGGTTGTGAGGGGGGTGGGGGGGGGGGGGGGGGTTGGGTGGGGGGGGGGATGGGTTGTAGTGGTTGGGTGCCCAAAGGTGTGGGCGGTTTGGGGGAAAAAAGGGTTGGGGGTGGGGGGTGGTGGGTGGGGGGGTGGGGTGGGTTGGGTGGGGGGGGGGGTGGGGGGGGGTGGGGGGGAGTTGGGGGGGGGGGGGTGGGTGGGGTGGGGGGGTACCAAGTAACACGTGGGGTGTGTGAGTGGGGGGGGGGGGGGGGGGGCTGGGGGGGGGAAGGGGGTGGGGTGGTACAGCCTGGGGGGGGGGGGTTTTGGGAAAGGGGGGGGGGTGGTATGGGGGTGGGGGGGAGGGGGGGGGGGTAGTTGAGAAGTAAGATTGTGATTTTTACATAAGCAAAGACATTTGGGTAATGCCCAACTTTTGTGCACGAGCCAAAATGAGGCGGGTTTTAAGAGGTTAATATTTTCCAGAATATCCTAAATACAATATATTTAAAAAATCTATTAAAAATCATAATGAATTATTCTTGAGAGGGACAATGTAGTCTCATATACAACCTTGTACAGTTGTCCCTGCCCTTTATAAATAATATTTGCTACTTTCTGTGTTGGGCTGCTTAGGAAGCAATAAGGGACTTTTGAATTCCTCACAGAGTGCAAAAAATAAAAGAGAAAAGAAAAAAAAAAAAGAAAAAAATGCAGCAGTATTTTGGACTTATATTTGTGAATAGTCTCTCTCCATTTTTCATGTAGAGGCCTCTTCATCCTGCAGAGCACCTGCATTTAATGTATTTGACTCAACTAGATTATTTCCTTTTTATGCATCACATTTTGTAGACTTGAACCCGAGCCAAGATGTTCATAGCCACATTTTAGACTTCGACTGAGGGAATAAAAAAACAAAACAGATTGTTATTTTTTTGATTACCCATTATTTTGCTTCATCGTGCATGTGGATCATTGGCCTGTTTGTCAAGAGGCTTCTAATTGCATTATTGCACTGTTACATGTACAGTAATTCTCAGGTTGTTTTAGACAAATTTGTTTATTTAAGCAACTGGTTAAAGACAATAACACGAGAACGCAGTTTGATGACAAGCAAAGCCACAGGTGTTCATGTTGCAAAGTACACATATCTGAAAATGGCAGGAGAAACTCTGAGCGACACTTAGCGGGGCTCACTAACATCTTTGGTAGTAGAGGATAGCCTAACCCTTAACTTATCCCCAATTAAAATGTACACTTGCCTTCCCCAAACTTGAATCTTAATTTAATCGTATGTTCTTAAGAGATACAAATTGGTGCACCAACAAGGGAAAGCGAACCCCTCTGCTGGAGATAAAAATCACAAGATTCTAGTATGACCCAGAGCATGCCACCTTACTGTAGCTGTTAGCTTCTGAGATTAACACCCTAAATGTTCATTCAGTAACAAAATTACTAAGTGTCTGTACCTGGCCAGATTTTATACCATAATGGTTAAATAGTTGTACTTAATAAAAAGGTTCAAGTCTTATTTTCAAATCACAGTCTCAAGAACTTTGGAAACGATGCTAGCCAACAGCTATAGGACGATTGTAGCTTGAGCTAGTCGTTTATGCTTTTGTCTTTAATAACAGGGACCAGCAGATCTGACAGTAGAGATTCAGGCAGACTAACCATGAACCATCGATCCGTGTGAAAACACAGGGCCAGCATGAGGAGGGTGACATATTGCCTACTTGCCAAATCTGAGGTGTCAGATGTGATATTATCTGAGCCACATGACATTTTTACTTTTGAGTTTGTGGACATCATTAAAAACTCTATTGTGGCGTTTTACTATTGAACTCTGCCATTGTTTAAAATTAGGAACCTAAATGGAGCTTTTCCCTTAATACAATTTTAAAGGATCAAAGTAAAATTCTTTCCATAATTTGACAAATATTTGTTGAGCCACTCACTCCTCCACATCCGAAGGTGAGGGAGGTGTTGCTGTTGATCTCATCCATTCTTATCTCTTCCAAAAAGTCACTGCAGGTGTTGTCTGGAGCTTAGATGCTGGAGATTCAGCCCTTAGACGCTGTTCATTCTTTTTTATGTACCTCAGACTGTATTGGTTCTGCATTTGCATAGTTCTTGTTTTCTAACAGAGGTCACTCCTGCATCTCCCATGCCTCCACCCAAGCTTTGAATGCAGCACGGGCCTCAGCATGAGCCTCACCTACGTGCCTATTCCAAACCGGGGCTTTCCACAGGTGGGGTCAGCGTATCTTGTTTTGACTGGGTTTCCCAGAACTTATAAGGGCTTCCAGAATTTTTACAATAAAACAAAATCCAGTTGGGTCTAGAATGTTCATGATTTGTTTCAGTTAATTCACGGCAATAAAATGATCCCTCTGGCAGATCAATTTGTCCCAAGATTAAAATGTGTTCTCCGAGTATATGCACAGATGCCTCACAGTAAGCTTAGACCAGTCACTCTCGTAATATACAGACGGCCACCTAAAGAAGGTAATCAAGGAACACTTACCCATGGTTTACTTTTAATATCAAGTGGCATGTGGTCAGATGTAGCCAATCATATCTGTTTCTGCATGCTATACAATACTGCTATGAGCCATCACTGGTGCTATACAATGGTCAAGCAGGATGTTGAGTGCCAGGCTCGTCACCTAACATATGAGAGCTATCGCTGGGAGAAGAGCCATTTCTGGATATGTACCTAGGCGGAGTTATCAACACAAAATTGCATTTAAATGTATTGGCAACAATAGAGATTTCTCATCCAAATATACAGCATTTCATGTCCCCAACTACAAATGTACAGGTGCAGTTAAGGTCTTGAATAAAAGCCATAATCCCCAGCCAGACAATTTAGTTATTCATCCTCTTTAATAGCACACTACATAGGAGTATATATATTCTGAATGAGATAACTTCCACGAATACACTGAACATGCAGCCCAAATGGCCCAGTCAACTCCCAAACCTAGCACGCCAGTAATCCTCATGGAATCTTATTTCTTGTGCCAAAATGTACAGCAAATCCGCCTGATAAATTCTGCTTTTCAGTAGCTTTTGTGCTCAGTCTGTTGTGGATTCCCCTGCCAAATCCCCATGGAAAGTCCACATGCACAGCCCGTTAAGTTTATCCAGATCCTGCTTGGCTAAGAAAGTCTCTTGAATACATAAGTATCACAGGTTTGAAGAAGTGAGTCAACTACAGACCCGACGTGCAGGAGTCTCTGCTTTACTGTGTCCAACGCGAGGCCCGTCGCGCATTATAAGACACAATTGTAAAGGGCATGATACTGTTTATTCGGAGATACCCGCACATGCTGCTCCCGCCGGCTCCCGCACCTGCGGCTCCAGAACCGCTACAGGTCTGGCTACTACCAAAGAAATCTCCAGCCTGCGCGCTTCGTTACTGGCGTAGTACGACGCCTCACATTTTGTACCTGATGGCAATGTTCAGGAGCGTACATGCACGAAAAGTCATTGCACTCAGCAGGTGACATGAAAGAGGTGACATGAAAAGAGCTGTGCGATCTGAACAGAGCTGATCTTTCTACACTGTTCTGTTGTGTTGTTAAAGTTTTTCTGACAGATAAGCACACAGTGTATCGGCTTCTACAGCAGGGTCAAAGAGTATTGTGGCAAATACACTCATCCAGTTAGAAGTTACATTCATGATGGTGCTTGACTGTCCCAGTTATGCCACTTTCTTACGCTCTTTCCCGGGCCGCGTTACACAGCAAACGGGAACCTGCTTCTCACGCGACCCTCTTTGCCAACCAGTAGACCTCTGTACTCGTTTGTCGACGGCCAGGGTTTCAGCTGACATACGGTTTCATGTTTTCATCGGATTTACGATCCTCACGCGTTTCAAGAGCACAGTGCTTACAGCATGATCCCAGCTGGTGCGCGGTAGATCCCTGATTTAGGTATGCGTTAATCCTCGTGCCCAATGACAGTGGGGAGTTGTTGTCACTCCAATCGCGGACACTCGCTCCATTGATGCTTTTGTAGGACTTACGCATGTTTTCATTATCGTGAGCCTGTCCCTTGCACGCTATTATCATGTCGGGGGACCTCCCGGTTAAGTTTGCTACAGTCTGGCAAGCAGCGCCGAGCATCGATGCTGACCAAATCCCAACAGGTGGCAGCAGGTCTCCCAGGTAGTGAGAGGACAAAACGGGGTAATATTTTCCCCGCTTCATTTCAGCACTTTCAGACATTATTTTTTAATATTGTTCAAGTCTTTTTGGCCCCTTTGTGCGCAATTTACGCAGAGGATGTACTCGGGCTGACTTCAAAGGAGGATTCTTTTGGAGGTCTTCAATTCCACTCAGTTGAGAAATTTCTTGTAGCCAGCATAATATCTTTCGGTCCTAGGTGCGCCATGGTACGCATCTTGACGGATAGATTATGTAACAATTCTTCCTCTGACGTTCAACTTTGCGATGGAAAGTTTTGTAGTTTTATGTTTTTCCGCTATCGGGAGCACCGCCGCGTCAACAAGTACCAGCCGTCGCCTTTTTTTCCTATCAGTCTCCAGACTAAATAATGGACTCAGACTTAAATTTCAAAAAGCACATAAAATCTGTAACATCAGCAGCTATTACAACTAAAAAACAGTGCTTAAAATTAATAACATAGTGTCTATAGGCAGATTGGAGACTCTTTTACACGTTTTGTTCAAGTCGGTTTAGTATGATGGCAATGGCTGCTCACTGGTCTGTCCAAACAGGCTGGTAAAAAACAGCTGCAGTACATTCAACATTCCGCAGCTCGAGTCCTGTCCTGAACTAGGAAGTACGTCCACATTATGTTCCAGGTTCTCAGGTCTCTGCACTGGCTTCCTGTTTCCTCAGAGAATAGACTTCATAGCAGCTTTTACTGTGTACAAGTCTCTCCATGGTATGCGGCCAGGTACATCCATGACATGTTTGTGCATATGAACCGACCCGGATTGCAGGAGCACAAGGGACTGGATCCTGTTAGTGCCAATGAGTCTCGGGTACTTGTCATGGGCTAACTGCATTTTCAGTTTCATGCGGCTAGTGTCTGGAACCGTTCTTCCTGAGAATGTGAGACAGGCGTCTTACTCTGGCATCTTTTAAATCTAGGCTCAAAACATTTCTGTTTAGCTGCGCAGTTATACAACTGAATTGATTTTATCTTTTCTTTCTTTGTTTTTATCTTTAATCTTTTTAATGCACTGTGACTATTTATGATTTTAGTCCCATCGGTGATTTTAATGTTCAAAGGTTTTTAATTTTTGTGGATTTTATTGTAATGTTTTTAATATATATTGTTGCTCTTAATGTGTTTGATTTATGCATGATGTGATAGGGGTTGTGAAGCGCTTTGCGTTGCAC